CACAGGCTCCTCCCCTGCGGGGAATGACACAGGCTCCTCCCCTGCGGGGAATGACACAGGCTCCTCCCCTGCGGGGAATGACACAGGCTCCTCCCCTGCGGGGAATGACACAGGCTCCTCCCCTGCGGGGAATGTCACAGGCTCCTCCCCTGCGGGGAATGTCACAGGCTCCTCCCCTGCGGGGAATGTCACAGGCTCCTCTCCTGCGGGGAATGTCACAGGCTCCTCTCCTGCGGGGAATGTCAGAGGTTCCTCTCCTGCGGGGAATGTCAGAGGCTCCTCTCCTGCGGGGAATGTCAGAGGCTCCTCTCCTGCGGGGAATGACAGAGGCTCCTCTCCTGAGGGGAATGACAGAGGCTCCTCTCCTGAGGGGAATGACAGAGGCTCCTCTCCTGCGGGGAATGTCACAGGCTCCTCTCCTGCGGGGAATGTCACAGGCTCCTCTCCTGCGGGGAATGTCACAGGCTCCTCTCCTGCGGGGAATGTCACAGGCTCCTCTCCTGCGGGGAATGTCACAGGCTCCTCTCCTGCGGGGAATGTCACAGGCTCCTCTCCTGCGGGGAATGTCACAGGCTCCTCTCCTGCGGGGAATGTCACAGGCTCCTCTCCTGCGGGGAATGTCACAGGCTCCTCTCCTGCGGGGAATGACACAGGCTCCTCCCCTGCGGGGAATGACACAGGCTCCTCCCCTGCGGGGAATGACACAGGCTCCTCCCCTGCGGGGAATGACACAGGCTCCTCCCCTGCGGGGAATGTCACAGGCTCCTCCCCTGCGGGGAATGTCACAGGCTCCTCTCCTGCGGGGAATGTCACAGGCTCCTCTCCTGCGGGGAATGTCACAGGCTCCTCTCCTGCGGGGAATGTCAGAGGTTCCTCTCCTGCGGGGAATGTCAGAGGCTCCTCTCCTGCGGGGAATGTCAGAGGCTCCTCTCCTGCGGGGAATGTCAGAGGCTCCTCTCCTGAGGGGAATGACAGAGGCTCCTCTCCTGAGGGGAATGACAGAGGCTCCTCTCCTGCGGGGAATGTCACAGGCTCCTCTCCTGCGGGGAATGTCACAGGCTCCTCTCCTGCGGGGAATGTCACAGGCTCCTCTCCTGCGGGGAATGTCACAGGCTCCTCTCCTGCGGGGAATGTCACAGGCTCCTCTCCTGCGGGGAATGTCAGAGGCTCCTCCCCTGCGGGGAATGACAGAGGCTCCTCCCCTGCGGGGAATGACAGAGGCTCCTCTCCTGAGGGGAATGTCACACGTTCCTCTCCTGCGGGGAATGTCACAGGCTCCTCTCCTGCGGGGAATGTCACAGGCTCCTCTCCTGAGGGGAATGTCACAGGCTCCTCTCCTGAGGGGAATGTCACAGGCTCCTCTCCTGAGGGGAATGTCACAGGCTCCTCTCCTGCGGGGAATGTCACAGGCTCCTTTCCTGCGGGGAATGTCAGAGGCTCCTTTCCTGCGGGGAATGTCACAGGCTCCTCTCCTGTGGGGAATTTCACAGGCTCCTCTCCTGCGGGGAATGTCAGAGGTTCCTCTCCTGCGGGGAATTTCACAGGCTCCTCTCCTGCGGGGAATGTCAGAGGTTCCTCTCCTGCGGGCTGAAGGTCGCAGCATCAAACATTGCAGCAAAGGGTGTTGATTCAGATTGATTCCCTTTACCACTCGTCATGCAGATTGGGGGGGGGGGGGGGGGCTTTTGCTGATAACTGCCAACCACAAGCTTTATCATCAACAAAACCATGTGATCACCGAGTCACATGACTATTGAGGAGCAAAAAGGATCGTGTTGACGAAGAATGTGACATCAAATATAAGGAGCTCCTATGTGGACACGGGGGGAGGGGGGTTGAGGGGAGGGGGGTTGGGCGTTTTCGGCAGAACAGGTCATCGGTTTATAAACAAAGTCATCTACACTGTGATGAGCTGGGGGTTTGGGGTGGCGCTGGGGTCCATTTATTTCAGGTACTTATATAGCGCCGTCAGTATATGCAGCTCTTTACATATATTGTACATTCCCATCAGGCCCCGCCCCCGAGGAGCATACATTCTAAGGTCCCTAACATTCTTACATACTAGGGACAATGTAGACCCGAGCCAATTACCTCCCACAGGGGAGAAGAAAAACAAACAAAAAGTGTCCCAACCTACCTTCCCTCGTGTCATCGACTTGTCCTGATCAGTAAACCCGAACCGCACTTAGATCCGAGGTGTGTTCAGGAATGTCGGGGGCTTCATGGTGAGGAACCTTTCACTGCGCCGTTTATCTCCTCTCCCCTCCCTGCCTGTCTGCAGCCCCACCCCCGAGGACTAGCAGGGAGGGGAGAGACCTTGCACTGTAATGAGCACCGATTGGCTGCTCATCAGGAAAGGGGTGTGTCGGGCTGTCTTAACACTCCACAGAAGCACATCTGCTGAGAGAGTAAATAAGGTGCCGCCCCCGATGAGACCAAACAAACAAAATAGAATTTCATTCATCCGCAGTCCTCTCCAGGTGACCTGCACAATGAGCGCAGGAGGAGGACCCCCTGTACTGCGATCACCAGCCACGCCTCTACCGGGGCCCAGCACTCGCGGTTTTCGTTTTTCCAGCTTCTGTGCGCAGAATTTGACAGATGAAGGAAAGTCCCGGATCCCCGAGGTGCTGCCATCACAGGAATGCAAACAGACCAGATCCTTCCGAGAACCGACCGACTACCGCCAACCGATCAACCCAACGACTACGAACAATTCCTACTCCTCCACACGGCCCTCTTCTGCCCTCCTCCTCCTCCACACGGCCCTCTTCTGCCCTCCTCCTCCTCCTCTCCTCCACACGGCCCTCTTCTGCCCTCCTCCTCCTCCTCCACACGGCCCTCTTCTGCCCTCCTCCTCCACACGGCCTCTTCTGCCCTCCTCCTCCTCCTCCACACGGCCCTCTTCTGCCCTCCTCCTCCTCCTCCACACGGCCCTCTTCTGTCCTCCTCCTCCTCCTCCACACGGCCCTCTTCTGCCCTCCTCCTCCTCCTCCACACGGCCCTCTTCTGCCCTCCTCCTCCTCCTCCACACGGCCCTCTTCTGCCCTCCTCCTCCTCCTCCACACGGCCCTCTTCTGCCCTCCTCCTCCTCCTCCACACGGCCCTCTTCTGCCCCTCCTCCTCCTCCTCCACACGGCCCTCTTCTGCCCTCCTCCTCCTCCACACGGCCCTCTTCTGTCCTCCTCCTCCACACGGCCCTCTTCTGCCGTCCTCCTCCCCCTCCGCAGATCCCTCTCCCGTCCTCCTCCCCCTCCGCAGATCCCTCTCCCGTCCTCCTCCCCCTCCGCAGATCCCTCTCCCGTCCTCCTCCCCCCTCCGCAGATCCCTCTCCCGTCCTCCTCCCCCTCCGCAGATCCCTCTCCCGTCCTCCTCCCCCTCCGCAGATCCCTCTCCCGTCCTCCTCCCCCTCCGCAGATCCCTCTCCCGTCCTCCTCTCCCCTCCGCAGATCCCTCTCCCGTCCTCCTCCCCCTCCGCAGATCCCTCTCCCGTCCTCCTCCCCCTCCGCAGATCCCTCTTTTGTCCTCCTCCTCCTCCACAGATCCCTCTTTTGTCCTCCTCCTCCTCCACAGATCCCTCTTCGGTCCTTCTCCTCCACAGATCCCTCTTCGGTCCTCCTCCTCCTCCTCCACAGATCTCTCTTCGGACCTCCTCCTCCTCCACAGATCCCTCTTCGGTCCTTCTCCTCCTCCACAGATCCCTCTTCGGTCCTCCTCCTCCTCCACAGATCCCTCTTCGGTCCTCCTCCTCCTCCACAGATCCCTCTTCGGTCCTCCTCCTCCTCCACAGATCCCTCTTCGGTCCTCCTCCTCCTCCACAGATCCCTCTTCGGTCCTCCTCCTCCACAGATCCCTCTTCGGTCCTCCTCCTCCTCCACAGATCCCTCTTTGGTCCTCCTCCTCCTCCACAGATCCCTCTTTGGTCCTCCTCCTCCTAATTTCCGCGAAAGACATCAATTCCAAAAATAAAACAAATATGCGATGTAATGGAATTCCCATCCAGAGCGTTCTGCAACAGACAAAGTGAGACTTTCCTACAGCTCCCCCCAACAACATCCAGCAGATGGCGCTAGTGACCTCACATGGCTGAGCGTGGCTATTGGCCGAGTGCGGTCACATGGTGGAGGTCCCTCCTTCTCCAGCATTCATTACTCCGGGATTGGCTCCATGTTGGGTGCTCTGCTCTCTGTACAGGCTATATACACCACAGTGATGATGTCACTGCTACTTTCACAAGGTAATATCTGGGTGTGCAGAAGCATTTGGTGCACAAAGTAAGTTCGAATTCCTTTTGGACATAAAAAACCCCCAAAAGACGTAATTTAAAGTGGTTGTAAAGGCTCAATGTTTTTTCAAAAAACCTTCTGTGTGCAGCACCCCCCCCCCCCCCCAGCACCCCTAATACTCACCTAAGCCCCCTCTGGATCCAGCGATGTGCACTGAAGTCTCGGCAATCCCATTGGCTGATCTCGGCAATCTCATTGGCTGAGATAGCAGTGGGTGTCAAAGGCTCCCACTGTCAATCACAGCCAGTGAGCCAATGAGAAGAGAGGAGGCGGGGCAAAGCCACAGCTTAGTGTGTAAATAGACACAGAGCAGGGGGTGCCCCCATAGTAGGCTGCTTGCTGTGGGACCACCCGACAGGAGGATCTGGGCTGCTCTGTGTAATACCACAGCACAGAGCTGGAAGGTTTTTGTTTTCTCAGTCTTTATTATCACTTTAAATAGATTTGTCAACGGCTACAAAAGTCCAACTTTAATGTAACTTCACCCAATGGGTGGGCTCAGTCGTATCTGGTAATCGGATGGCTCTGGGATCCTGCGTGCGCTCCCATTGTCTGAGCTCAGATTGGCCGTTAGGTTGTGTCCCTGGCAGGAGCGTTTCTCTGCACTTCCCTCCCCCGATGACGTTTTTGCAATGTTTCATATTAAAAAGGAAACAAAAAGTAACTGACATTCATTTTGACGCTTCCAAGGTGAAAAGTATCGGTTGGACTTACTTGCCAAGGCCTTCTCGTAGTTCTTCCCCATCGCGATGAAATTCCTAAGGCAAGGGTTAAATTGTTCCATAATCGTCTGCAAGACAAAGAAAGAAGAAGAAGCATTCAGAACCAAAGAGTTCCATCGTCACCCCAAAGAGTTCCATCGTCACCCCAAAGAGTTCCATCGTCACCCCAAATCCCACCCACAACCGGAGCAGATTGTAAGTTATGGAGGCCCACACGTAGGACTAAACAAAACCTGTGTTTGAGTTCTGGAAGAGTGGAGAGAGATTAGAACCCGTCAGGTTTTTATTAAAATCTTATTAGGGTCACAAAGAACTTTGGAACAACATCAGTTGACTTGATGGCAAGAGGAAAAAACCACCAAAAAACACACAACACCACACACCAAACATGGTGCAATGAACAATTTTTCAGAACAAAAATGTTACTGTATGGATATATGGACAGCTTTTCAGATTCACTTTAGTAGCAATTTCAAAATCCACTTAAGATATTGTTTTAGACAGGAGGAAGATGGAGGAGAAAGGTGGATGGTGGAGGAAGGTGGTGATCTTAGAGGAATGTGCGGATGATAGGGTGGTGGCCATCAAGACTGTGGGTGGTAGAAAGTGAAAGGGTGGTTATGACAGGGTGGTGCGAAGATGGTGGAGGAATGTGGCGATAGTGGAGAAGAAGGAGTGGTGGTCATGGTGTAGGTGGGTGGAGGAAGGTGATAGGATGGAAAAGGCAGGTGACAGAATGGTGGTCATGGTGGAGGAAGGCAATAGAATGGTGGTCATGGTGGAGGAGGGTGGTGGAAGATGATAGGATGGAGGAGGTAGGTGACAGAATGGTGAGAGAAGGTGATTGAATGGTGAAGAAAGGCGACAGAATTGTGGTCATGGTGGAGGAAGGCAATAGAATGGTGGTCATGGTGGAGGAGGGTGGTGGAAGATGATAGGATGGTGGAAGTAGGTGACAGAATGGTGAGAGAAGGTGATCAAATGGTTTAGAAAGGTGATAGAATTGTGGTCATGGTGTAGGAGGGTGGTGGAAGATGATAGAATGGTGGAGGTAGGTGGTGGTAATGGTGGGAGGAAGGTAATAGGATGGTGAAGAAAGGTGTTGGTCACAGTGGATTAAAGGTAATAGGATGGTGAAGGAAGGTGGTGCTCATGGTGGAGGAAGGCGATAGGATGGTGGAGGTCATGATGGAGGAAGGAGATAGGATGGTGGAGGAAGGTGGTGGTCATGTTGGAGGAAGGTGATAGAATGGTGGAGGAAGGTAATATGATGGTAAAGGAAAGTGGAGGTAGGTGGTGGTCATGGTGGAGGAATGATATTGGATGGTGAAGGAAGGTGACAGAATGGTGGTCATGGTGTAGCAAGGCGATAGGATGGTGAAGGAAGGTGGTGGTCATGGTGGAGGAAGGCGATAGGATGGTGGAGGAAGGTGGTGGTCATGGTGGAGAAAGGAGATAGGATGGTGGAGGAAGGTGGTGGTCATGGTGGAGGAAGGAGATAGGATGGTGGAGGTAGGTGACAGAATGGTGGGAGAAGATGACCGAATGGTGGAGGAAGACGATAGGATGGTGATGGAAGGTGGAGGTAGGTGGTGGTCATGGTGGAGGAAGGTGGTGGTCATGGTGGAGGTAGGTGACAGAATGGTGGCCATGGTGGGAGAAGGTGACCGAATGGTGGAGGAAGACGATAGGATGGTGATGGAAGGTGGAGGTAGGTGGTGGAAGGCGATAGAATGGTGGTCATGGTGGAGGAAGACGTGGTCAGGGTGAGGTTTGGTATAGAGGAGGAGCATTGCGTTTAGTTACATTTTCTACAACACCAATAAACAAATGATATAAATTCTTCTCAGTTTCGGAAATATGGAGTTCTGCAATTACTGTCTTTTAGGAGTGCCGGGATCTCGGCTCATTCTCGCTACGAATACAAAGCATTGTCGTTACCTAGGAGACTAAAAGCAGCTGACTCAGACCCCCATTTTCTGCTGCTGCTCCAGCGGGATTCTAGGGAATCACAAGACAACAATACGGAATATATTTACAGGTAGCGCCTCGCCCATTGCAGGTCTGAATGGAAAAAGAAGAAGATTTCCCCCAAATAACAGACACTTGGCCATCATCTGAGGAGGGATGAGGTGGAAGGTGACGGGTCAGGAGGACAGATTGTTCTACAAGTGTTCTGTAGTGAAGTATAAACAGGATGGGGTTCAGAGTCAGCTACGTGGGCGGGTTCCAGCTACCCCTCCCCCCCACCTTTGCTGTATAAATGATGGTCCCCCTATAGTACGGAGCGGAATATTTGTCACCAACCTCCCGGAACAGATCTACATACGGTGCCTCCCGGGTCATTGTATTCTGACATTCAAAGGGTAGACATTCCCCCATACCGTGTACAGGACACACCAGTATGAGGGCTGCAGCTGCCCGTACAATCTCATCTGAAAATGTTCCGTTTTGGAACATCAGATTTTCGAATGGTTGGTGGAGTCAAATCGCTGAGAATATTCAAACGAAAGCTCAGTCGAGGAATTTAAAGTCCAACTCCACCTTTAAATGTCCATTGAAATAATTTGGGGCAAGGTGGCTGAAACCAACCATTTCCTTCACCAACAACAGGTGCATCTGTTGGACGTGCGGAATACTCTGTAGGTGGCCTCAGCTATATACTGTATACAGCGCTGTGATCTGGGAGCAGTATATGGGAACTTCCGGAACAAAATGGAGTTCGGCTGAGCGCTGCTCCTTAATGCGCCTATAGCATGAATGGTGCTTGTTTGCTGCGTTGGAAAAGCTCTGAGAAGACTCAATTGCCCAGTAGGATCAATGCCACCCGCATGCATCTGGTATGTTTTTCTGTGCAGGTGGTTGTGGCTGCGGGAACACATGCAGAGCTGCAGCAGGAACCCCCCGCACAGACGTGAGCCTGGCCTAAGTGAAGGAAATAGTTCATTTGGACCAAACCATTTCCAGTAAAGGCACAGTATACATGGAATAGCCCCAACACGGTTCTGGTGGCATGGCCCTTTAAAATGGTCTTCTGCCTGTCTAAGTAACTTCAGTGCAAGAATCCAAGACTTACAAAATGGCAAATTCCAACATTCCACCAGGTAAATGATCAGGAGATGAGAATGGGGTGAAAGTGGCATTTCCACCCAAAATAGCGGGGTGGAAAGACGAGGGTCTCCACCACACGCACACAAAGTCTTCCAGCTCTTCATACGTCAGAGTTGACAAATGGCTCCCTGAAGCCATACAATAGTCAACCCCACCCCCATCACAATGGAATAATAATCAATCAGGAAACCTTGCCCCCTCTGGCCACGCCCATCATGACTGAAGCAGGCAATGACACCCCCCACCTCACATGTGGAAGAGCTGCATATACTGGGGTCCATGCCCTCAGAAGGGAGGAGGAAGGACAGTTCATACATTGCTCAGCACGTCCCCACAGCTTCCATCTTCTGACCAGCCTTAAATCTAAATGGACATCCAAGGGCCACGCTACACATTACTGGACCACAATACGCCACAATTATAACGTGGCCACAAACGTGTCTGCTGAGCTCTGCATCCATTTCTAGAAGGCTGGTGGAAAGGAGACTCCAGACGAGGCACCTATCTCATCACTGGGTGCATCATCCTCCTCCTCCATAGTTCTAGAGACGGAAGATTCACACAAACCAGAGGAGACTTTGTCTGCAGACTGGAGGCCAATCAGATATGGACGGCCTGGAGCACCCACTGGGTAGACTGCTCACTTCTTCACCGTACCATTGCACAGCCGTCCCAACATCCTTGGAGTTGGAGGTTAGGAGGACAGTAACGGAGAAATCTACCCAACCTCCCCTCATCCATGATTAGACCTGGATGTCATGATGATCCATTTGCTTCAGCACTTTGAATGTTTTGTTCTAGGTGAAGGCCTCAAATCCCCGACCCAGACGTGTCTGGCAGCATCTCTTCTTTCTGGGCCACCTGGAATGCTGGACTGCTCCCCGAACAATTTTGTCTCAAACCTTGAACTTTTTGCTCCTCCCCTTGCGGTTTGCCAGATGTTTGAGCCTCGTCTCTCCTGCTGCTGTCTGCATCTCCACTACCACTCATTACTGACCTTTGGCCTGTTCCTCAACTACACTTCCACTTACCCTACCCGCTACATCTGCTACTGGATCCCAACTGGCTCACCTCCTGATGGGGCGATCCTGAGGACTGCGACCTGGTACTAAACATGCAGCAAAACCCATCCCCACCATCAGGAGCTCTGGTGAGCACCAATTAGTGCCTAGATCCTGCACCTCGGATGAGCCCGTGTCATTCACTAGGCTGACCTGCTTGTATATCTATCCTGCTGGAGCCTCTCTACTGCTACATCTACTGGTCTACAAGCCGGACCCCCGACCAGCGCCCAGTACAGGTGCAGCATCAATAGGATTGAGGGGATTTCGAAGCATCAACTCCAGCCAAGACGTCTTTAATTGCCGGATGGGGCTGGAAAGTTTCTCTTTATTGCCATCGGCGATAACTTCACCAGTGAGGTCATAATACACCTGAATCTCTCCCACCCATCGTATCCGGAGAGGGAAGGTTGGATTTAGATTTCACAACCAATTAGACGGAATCAGTTTTTGTACTTTAGTTTCAACTGCTGAACATTTGATGTGCCGACTTCTTCCAATCCTCTCCCTTTCCTTCGTCTGAACTTCTGTGGGCCGCCAGGGCCGTCCTCTGCAATATCACATTCACATGGCCTCAGGTACAACCAACAGGTCACCCTTCAAAAAGGTCTTTATAAATCCGCCTCCCCACCCCCTCCTCTGCCCTCTCCGTGTCATTCAATAGCCCAGACTCCCAAGGACTGCATTGCTGCAGGCGGCTGCTGTGAACGCAGGAAACCTTAACCCTTCCTACACAATCACGGGAACCAAAACCAACGTCCAGGATTCCCCGGAAAACAAGTCCATTTATTCATCTTCTGCTGAGGAGCAACTCAAAGGGTCTCAAAGCTTTCAATTATGAAGGGCAAGTAGTCTTGTATATCAGAACTACCACTTTTGTTTAACACACACCCCAAATGTTCCAATCCCCTCCATATCATGTGATTCAGGTGTTCCAATCCCCTCCATATCATGTGATTCAGGTATTCCAATCCCCTCCATATCATGCGATTCAGGTGTCCCAATCCCCTCCATATCATGTGATTCAGGTGTTCCAATCCCCTCCATATCATGTGATTCAGGTATTCCAATCCCCTCCATATCATGTGATTCAGGTGCTCCAATCCCCTCCATATCATGCGATTCAGGTGCTCCAATCACCTCCATATCATGCGATTCAGGTGCTCCAATCACCTCCATATCATGCGATTCAGGTGCTCCAATCACCTCCATATCATGCGATTCAGGTGCTCCAATCACCTCCATATCATGCAATTCAGGTGTTCCAATCCCCTCCATATCATGTGATTCAGGTGCTCCAATCCCCTCCCAATCATGCGATTCAGGTGTTCCAATCCCCTCCCAATCATGCGATTCAGGTGTTCCAATCCCCTACATATCATGTGAATCAGGTAATCCAATCCCCTCCCAACCATGCGATTCAGGTGTTCCAATCCCCTCCATATCATGTGATTCAGGTGTTCCAATCCCCTCCCAATCATGTGATTCAGGTGTTCCAATCCCCTCCATATCATGTGATTCAGGTGTTCCAGTCCCCTCCATGTCATGCGATTCAGGTGTTCCAATCCCCTCCCAACCATGTGATTCAGGTGTTCCAATCCCCTCCATATCATGTGATTCAGGTGTTCCAATCCCCTCCATATCATGTGATTCAGGTGTTCCAATCCCCTCCATATCATGTGATTCGGGTGTTCCAATCCCCTCCATGGACACAGGTGTATACAATCAAGCCCCTAGGCATGCAGACGGCTTCTACAAACATTGGTGAAGAATGGGTCGCTCTCAGGAGCTCAGTGACTCCAAGCGTGGTCCCGTGATAGGTGGCCACCTGGGCAATAAGTCCATCCGTGACATTTCCTGGCTACTAAATATTCCACGCTCAACTGTTAGTGGGATTATAACAAAGTGGAAGCAACTGGGAACAACAGCCACTCAGCCACCAAGTGGTAGGCCACATCACATGACAGGGCGGGGTCAGCGCATGCTGAAGCGCACAGTGCGCAGAAGTCACCAACTGTCTGCAGAGTCAATAGCTAAAGACCTCCAAACTTGGTGTGGCCTTCAGATGAGCCCAACAACAGTGTGTAGAGAGCTTCATGGAATGGGTTTCCATGGCCGAGCAGCTGCATCCAAGCCTTCCATCACCAAGTGCAATGCAAAGCGTCGGATGCCGTGGTGTAAAGCATGCCGCCACTGGACTCTAGAGCAGAGGAGACGTGTTCTCTGGAGCGACAAATCACGGTTCTGTCTGGCAATCCGATGGACGTGTCTGGGTTTGGCGGTTGCCAGGAGAACGGTACTTGCCTGACTGCATTGTGCCAAGTGTAAAGTTTGGTGGAGGGGGATTATGGTGTGGGGTGTTTCTCAGGGGGTGGGCTTGGCCCCCTAGTTCCAGTGAAGGGAACTCTTAAGGTGACATTTTGGACAATTTCATTCCCCCAACATTGTGGGAGGAGTTTGGGGGTGGCCCCTTCCTGTTCCAACATGACTGCCCACCAGTGCACAAAGCAAGGTCCATAAAGACATGGAGGAGCCAGTTTGGGGTGGAGGAACTTGACTGTCCTGCACAGAGTCCTGACCTCAACCCCATAGAACACCTTTGGGATGAATTAGAGCGGAGACTGCGAGCCAGGCCTCCTCCCCCGACATCAGTGCCTCCTCCCCCGACATCAGTGCCTGACCTGACAAATGTGCTTCTGGAAGAATGGTCCAACCTTCCCATAGACACCCTCCTAAACCTTGTGGACGGCCTTCCCAGAAGAGGCAAAGGGCGGGGCCAACTCAATATTGAACCCTACGGACTAAGACTGGGGGGCCATTAAAGGCCATGTGTGTGGAAAGGGCGGGGCCAACTCAATATTGAACCCTACGGACTAAGACTGGGGGGCCATTAAAGGCCATGTGTGTGGAAAGGGCGGGGCCAACTCAATATTGAACCCTATGGACTAAGACTGGGGGGCCATTAAAGGCCATGTGTGTGGAAAGGGCGGGGCCAACTCAATATTGAACCCTACAGACTAAGACTGGGGGGGTCAGTAAAGGTCATGTGTGTGGAAAGGGCGGGGCCAACTCAATATTGAACCCTATGGACTGAGACTGGGGAGCCATGAAAGGTCATGTGTGTGGAAAGGGTGGGGCCAACTCAATATTGAACCCTACGGACTGAGACTGGGACCATTAAAGGTCATGTGTGTGGGAAGGCCGGTGGTCCAATACTTTTGGTAATATAGTATAATTATTATACAGGATTTATGGCGCCAACAGTGTGCTCAGCGCTTTACAATAGAACGGGAGGCAATACAGATCAATACAAGAGGGTGAGGAGGGCCTGATCCTGGGAGCTTACAATCTAGGAGGGAGGGGCTAGTGGTACAAAAGGTAGTGACTGTGGGGGATGGAGTGGTAGGAGGAGTAGAAGATTCCATCATTAGCTGAGGGCAGGATAGGCTTCCCTGAAGAGATCGGTTTTCAGAGATCGCCTAAAAGTGAGCAGAGTAGGCGATAGTCTGATAGATTGAGGTAGAGAGTTCCAGAGGATGGGGAAGCTCTGGAGAAATCCTGGAGACAAGCATGGGAGGAGACGAGGGAGCTAGAGAGCAGGAGGTCATGACAGAGACACACATACTTTTTTTTTTTAATCTCATTTTAACAAATTGGTTATTTTTAATAATTTAAACTTAATTAAATGTAATTACAATTTTAAATCTAATTTTGTAACTTACAAGTATATGAGATTTTAGTGGTTGGAATAGCCTTTAGCCCCCATAATACAAGACTTTGCTCCTTATAAGGACCCCCCCCGCTGTCCCCTGGAATGCCCACATCTACCGGGGGCCCCCCCATGTGCCTCATGAGATCCTTTGCAGGAGTAGTCCTGATGCCGCTCTCTCAGGTGTTGGGATCTGGCAGAGACCTGTGATACATGCGGGCCATTCCTGCACATGCGCACACACAGGTCCCTACATGGTCCCAGATAGCAGTGAGGTGTGTGTGCGCATGCATAGGAATCCCCCACACATGCGCAGATAGGCCGCAGGTCTCTGCCAGGCCCCAACAATCCATCGCAACGCTGCTGGAACATCTACACATACAGGATATTTTGAAAATGGCGGCGCGGGGAAGAGCGTCAGGAAGGGAATATTTCAGAGGATGAATTTCCCCTCTAAAGACGACCTTCACGGGACCCGGAGTGGCCAGGCGGTTCTCTTGAATACGAATCTCTATAGATTAAAAGGAAACATTTGCAGCCGCAATGCAAAAAACAAAACAAACAAACTAATCCGTGTATTAAAGATACAATAAACAAAGAGGGGAGAGGAGGCAGGAGGAGTCCTGAGCAGCGCTCCTCCCCGGTGACATGATTCACCGTACAGTAACCATGTACTTGTGGAACAACAAATAAAAGACCGGAGGAGAAAAACAGAACAAATCTGACTCAACAGCCTTGAGGAACAAAAAGCATCGAATACAATAACAAGTCACCGGAGGAGAATTCGCTTCACATCGAGCTGCACTATGACAAGGAGCCTCCTTCTGCTCTGTGTAATGGGGGGGGGGGGGGGAAATGACGGGGGGGGGGGTGGTAAATGACGGAGGGGGGGGCAGTCTGAAGACTGGAAGACATTTGCGCTGCGTTGTTTTGCAGTAAACATACGTTCGCAGTGTCATTCATGATGACTGCCACTCCAATGCACAGAGTACAACTCCAGTTCATATGCAATGCACCAATACTGTGCATCATCACGTTTTGTGGAGCGCTTCATTGTCAAAAGACAGAGCACGGTCGTTTTTGTGGACATTCTGATGCGATGCTGGACTGCCTTAGCACAAAAGCATCAACAAGCAACAGATGCGTGTTACAGCAACACAAGCAGGACACTATGTTGTGAATGAGCCCCAAACCTTGAGCAAGCCTGCACCCTTCCCACCAACGTTCCAAAATCTCTTCCCCTACCCATGTCCTCTTAAATCGCTGTTTGGGGAACCTTCCCTTCACCTTCCGGCACCAGCAGTTGACTTGCAGAGGTTCTGAGCTGCTGCAAATTCCATATAGGTGTGTGAACAGGAAGTGCCTAAACCAGGACTTTTTATGGCAGGATCACCAAATGCAACTTTACTGAAAGCTGCAGATTTCATAGACTGTAAATTATATCGGGAATTACATTTTGTTAGACCTTTATGAGAAGGTTTGTTGGGTTTGGATATAGTCCAGCCTGCCTCAGCCTTTTCGACATGGAGGATCCCTTGAAATACCTCTTTGGTTTCAGGGACCCCCCTAATAATTATATTTACAGCTCAGAGTCCATAAGGAGGAAGAATGCTCATGACTTGTGTGGTGATTGGGAAGATTCCCCCTTATACAGGAGATCATTGGTGTCAGTGGTTACTCATCTCAAAAGGCAGAAATCACTCATTGCTTGAGGAACGCCAACCAACCACTGGAGGAACCCCGGACTTCCATGGAATCCTGAGAACCCTGATCTAGTCTCATATCTATCCAAAATGGGAGTTTAAAGACTACAAATCCCCTTTAGGTGAGGTCAGGCTCGGTTCTTTGTATTCTGTATTATCGATGGCGCGGAATGAACCTTGGCACATTGCGGTACAAATGGATGAGGTCATGTTTGGAAGTCGTCCACTGGGGCTGGTGGGGAGTTGGTGGCACTGGACAGAGGAGTCAACGAGGCGTGCTGCCGGTGCTGAGCCGCTGCCACTCCGTTCCACCATGGAGGGAACACACACGGGACTAGTCATCTGTAAATACCTTCACAGGGCCTCGCACCACAAAGAACTTTAGGAGTATAAAATAAAAGGACAAATAGCAGAATAAAGCGACTATTTTATAGCAACACTAGTTTACAAAATTACCAAAATAAAACAGATGAACCCGAACAGTGGAGTTCCAGCCAAAACAAGAAAAAATGAAAGTCACGGGTTAGGGTTAGGGTTCAGCTAGGAGAAACTGAGAAATTAACACCTAAGCAGACCTTACACCTAGGATGGGATTGTAAAACCAACTAGAATTGGGGGGGATGAAGGGGTTTGTACTACCATTTATCAATATAAAAATGTCAATATCTTCCTGACACTCATTAGAACTGAGGGAGTGACCAACTACCCGATCCACCATGATCATGAGACCAACTACCCGATCCACCATGATCATGAGACCAACTACTATGAGATCCACCATGATCATGAGACCAACTACTATGAGATCTACCATAATCATGAGACCAACTACTATGAGATCTACCATAATCATGAGACCAACTACTATGAGATCTACCATGATCATGAGACCAACTACTATGAGATCTACCATGATCATGAGACCAACTACTATGAGATCTACCATGATCATGAGACCAACTACTATGAGATCTACCATAATCATGAAGCTAACTACTACTAGATTGTACCACAGCCATGAGACTAAGTACAAGAGATCCTCCATGAGACCAACAACTGCTAGATCCACCATGACTAGGAGACCAACTGCTTCTAGATGTACCATGAGACCAACAACTGCTAGATCCACCATGACTAGGAGACCAGCTGCTTCTA